CCACGGGTGATGCGTTTATAAAATATGTTAACAAAACATATAATTAAGAAGCACTGTCCTTACTACAAAAACCCAAAGACGGAATCCGAGTCAGACAGCAGAAGTGTGTATTTTTTTAAAGCAACACCTGACGCATAGGAGTTTATATTCGATCCAGTGTTTATGTCTATATTATAACAATGTCAGAGTTTTTCCTATGCTAAAAAGAAAACATAATGAGACCTTTCTGGAAAGACTTTTTATGGTTCAACGGCGTATTTTTGTGGTCATGGCGTTTATTGGGGGCCTACATGGCCTCAATTTGTAATATTAATAATCATAATACAATTAACATATTTTAATAGGTAGTTTTTCAAGGTCTAATATAATTTTTTGCTTATGATCTTATTTCCCACGCGCGAACAAATATGGCAATCAAACGTGTGCAAATCATCATCACTGGTGCCGATTGCAGAGTTTTTATTAAACACGTTATAAAAAAAATGAACTAAAAATAAAATCAATTAAAACATTCTAGCTGATCTCAAAAATCCATGTAAACTTACATTAATTGTGGGTAAAGCATATGGTACTATCAAAGTCGCGACTTTTGACAATCGGCAAAACTCTCGAGGTCGCCGCCAATCCCTACAAACCATGCAAACGCCCCGAAATCTCGAGAAAAAAAATTGGTTTTTTTTTAATGTGTGTTTGTTTTTTACGAATTTTCCCGTAACATTTATTTTCTTTCATTTTTACGCGCCGACGTTTTGCCAATCTCAGCCTTTCCAATTCGAAGGAACGCCTACCCGCTTCCACGTCTGCTCACTGCAGCACGTTTCGTTGGGGTTGGAAAAACGGTGAAACAGTAGTTAGTTTTAGTATTGCGTATATACCAGTGAACGCATGTACATTCTGTTTGACTTGGCGTTGCGTATTTCACACTGCGCGTGTGCGAAACCCAAAATTATACGGTCTTGGATTGGACCATGGCGATGACGCGCATGCGCAGCGTGTAGCACGGTATACTGTAACGCAAACGTACAGTGCTTGCGTTTGCTTCTAGACGCAATACTGAAACTCTCCAATAAGGTACAATCCCGTACCGACTGCAGCACTACATCGGGAGAGTGAAGAGTGTTGTTTGCATTCGGAAATGACATTTCGCGATCCATGATCGCAGGCAGTTCCCCCGTGCCCTCTGAGCATGGAGACCCTCACTTGAGCGCTTCCCGTTTCCGCCGCGGGATGGCGAGCAACGAACTGGAGACACGAACTGGAGACGCGAATTGTGTCGGCGAATATAAATGTACTCTAACACCAGCCTGAAGGTCGGTTCACACAATGACATTTGCTTACGATTTCTTACGTTACGCGAGGAGTCACCGTGAGATTCGTGTTTCGTACGTAGCGTGCAAAGCTGCTCCTTGAACCGGTCGCTTCGCTTCGTTCGAAGCACGGATGTCCCGGTTACTGCGACGTAAGCGGTCGTTAACGGACCTAGCTTAACGTGAAAAAAACAAAACAAAAAAAAAAAGCCTCATGTGTGTCTTAACCAACACCACCTATACTCTGTCTCATCCTACGATGGACTAAAGGCCATAGCCACGGGCCGCGAGGTCCAATCACGTTGCACGCTATACTATGACACGCTTAACATTGATTAGGGGTGGACGAATAATGCTCGAATCCAAAAGCGCCGCATCATTTCTATAGCTTCGACGCTGCAAAAAGCCTATATTTTGTGGCTTCCTTTGCAATCTAAAATTGTTGAGTCACTCAGTGCTCTTCTATTCGAAGCACTGTCCACCCGTCCTTTTATCAGTGATCCGAGACGCGGGCACCGATACGTGCATCGAAGCGAAATACCGCACAATTTCTATGTACCTCGTGATTGGATCTGGCGGTCCGTAGCCTTCGCCTTTAGTCCATCGTAGGGTGAGACGAAGTATAGACAGAAAGCCTCCGCACCGTGATCGCATCATCATCACAGTCAGATCGATCGAGGTCTGAGATTGGGCCCGAGTGCTGTGTCAGTGTTCGTCTGGGGCTCGTGGCCAATCAGTGCGTCGAAGGTCTGTCTCGGGCCCAATAGCCGAGTTAGCGCCATCCGACTCTGATGACGTTTCATGAAGGAAGAGTGGCGCGTTCGGAGGCCTTCATTATTCTCGATTATGTTGCCTTAACTCGGTAGCTTCGCGCAGATTGAATTTACAGGTATGCATGTAAATTGAGCGGAGAGACAGTCTGTCGAACGACTATGTGGGTCGAACAAAGCTGTGGGCATGGCCGCTGAATACGCTGGAGCAAATCGAATTGGGCTTTGGCTGCGCTTGTATTCACGGCTTTCGAATGCGCGCTCGCAAAGACAGGCGCAAGAGTAAAATAATTTGTCCCGCGATAAGAACGAAACGACATTTCAATTCCACGTTCGCGAAGCCGAGGGCTTATGAGATTAGAATGTCATTAGCTTAAATCGAAGCAGATTACGAGGCTCACATGGATGTTTTTATACGCATACAAACGAGATCGGCAGCAGGATCAAACTTTTATTTGCCTAATCAGCAAACGTCTTTTTTTTTTTTTTTTTTTTGCTCATAGGTTTAGTAACCTTGCAATTCTAGAGACGGTTGCCATCATAAAAGCTGTAAGACTGAAGATAAAATGTAGATAACCTTTTTTCTACAAACAAAAATACGTCACTGCCGTGGCAAGACGTTGAGGGCCGCGTTTTTTTCGGAGAGTACACAGCAAACGATGCTCTCCGAGACGTCAAATGCGGCTGGTTAGCACCTGCTAGGTTAGTCGGTGAGAAGAAACTCATAAAGCCGACGAGTGCCGTGAGGATGCACTTTTGGCGCTGTTGATTGGCTCCCGAGGATCGTAGCTTTGGCTGCGGTCGAACTGAATGTGAAGCGGAGCATAGGACATGAGACGCTGCATATGTCGTGTTCCGTATGTATTCTTTTTTTTTCGTTCTGTGCTATAATTTGTACGCGTAAATGATATCGGTACACTTCTGACTTCGAGTGACTCCGACTTCAGTGCGTCTAGCAACCTTCTCAGGTCGAGTAACTCCGACTTCATTCGGTCTAGCAACGTTCCCCGACCGAGTGACTCCGACTTCATTCGGTCTACCATCGCATCCGCCGAGGACCGACGACGATAATCCAAAAGTACGTGACTCTGCACGCATTCGAGGCCGGTGGCATTGGTTCTCGAACGTGCAGGTCCCACCGACTAAGGCGCACTCAGGAAGGAAGCAGTTCGACTGAGCCGCGTAAAGTGGGTGGGCTGGGCCGGTGGGATGCCGTCATTATTTGTTGTTGTTTTCTTAATTACGAAAATGTATGTAGATCTTCTCTTATCATCAGCCGTTGCGGTGGTTTTGTTGCTGAGCGCGAACTTTCTACAGGGCACAATTCTCGCCAGTGGATTTGTTCTCCTCAGCAAAAACACGTAGGAATGAATGCAGAAGGAAATGGCGCTCCGAGCCAGCACCCCTTGTTGCTCGCTGTGTAACACGCGTGAACTTTTACATGTAAAAGCTGCTTCCCTGCACGAGAATTCCAGTTCAGAGGTAACTTTCGAACATACTCTAAAAATTACCTCGTACTGACTTTCCCATGAGAAGGCAGCGAGCCAATCCTTAGAATGTTATTACCATATCAAAACACTGCCACATAACGTTCATGCTTACGGTGAGACTACGGTTATAGTCGCAACCACAAAGCGGATTGCGCACGTTGTCGTTAAAAGCAGCGCGGGAAATTTTACAGGATCTTGCACAATCATCATACGCATCCACTATGCGCCTGCGGTTCAGCCGCCGGTGTAACTGATCTTTTAATGCGATATGACCTCTTATGACTATACTTATAAGTAGTCACAAGAGGTCACTTTGAACGCGAGTTCCCGCTGAACGCTGGCTCATCGTATACGACGAGCCAGTGTTCAGCTGGAATTAGCGTTTAAAGTCCCAGCCTAACTGGTACAGGGCCCCGTTGGGAAAAAAGTCGGCGAGAAACCTGGCAGCCGTGATTGGCCAACACCGCACTTGACCTTGGCGCCGGCCAATCGCCGACTTTTAAGGCGAAAGCCTCATATATCCCATTAGAGAAAAGGCTTCGGCGTTGTGCCCGAAAGATGGTCAAACACTACCTCATAAAGCACGCGCCGCTCAAGGTCAAAGTGGACGCGGCTCAAAAATAAAACACAAAGAAAAGCACAGCAACACAGATGCTTCGTCAAAGAAGCCGTGAGGCCGGCGGGGGCTCCGCGCCTGCGCAGTGGGGGAGCGTGATGTCACCGCCGGAGCGCCGTGTGCAAAAGGAAGACGTGGCGCGCTGCTTGTAGGAATACGCTGCGTGTACGAATACTTTCGCATTCCTACACGTAAGTAGTCTTGAGTGTCCTCGACGTGTTTTTTTTTTTTTTCGCCAGGTGTCCAGATTAGAGTCCCTGGTGCATGTCTAATATGTGACCCGTGCTCGCCCTCAGTGGATGATGTAGAAACTTCAGCACTTTGGCGTTCTGCCTGGGTGGTGTCGGCTTGCCACGTCTGCGGAAGACGCCAACTCTATTCGGTCAGCCTTCACTGACCGAATATTCTCCACCATGTTATTGTTATGCGCTGCTGGACGCGTGCGAAGACCTAACTTTTTTTTCCTGTTTCTTTCAAACCACGTGGCTCGCAATTCTCGGTAGACAGTTGGTCGCAGCTAACAACATATCGTGAAGTCATGTAGCCTGAAGACACTGAGCTTCAGAATGAAACCTTGCGAATAACGTAACCCTGTAACTTGTTGCAGGCAAACACACAAAAAATCACGTCTTTTGATCTAGGGTGCTGAGCCTGTGAAACTCCGTCTTAACTTCTCCAGCACAGATGAGATTTCCCTTCCTTTCATGAACCAACCACGTCATTCGTGTGGCTTTCTTCTGGGGTCGCAATGAAGCCATATGTTGCTTGAAAGCGAATGCCACGGAAGAGCAGCGTTTTAAGGTATTGCGCGCCGCTGGTCCCGTTTCAGAGCCGGGGACGGTGGTGGTACGTCGCTTCCAGCCCCGCGTGGGCCAACTGCTTCGCTCTGGAGGCGCCGAGGAACCGGAGGGGCTCGAGCGGCCGCTGGTCGACTCCCGGCCCCTGCCGCCCGTCGACACGCTGGAAGCCTGCGACAGGGCCGCACAGAGGTCGGTGGCAATGGCCGCATGGCGCGCTCGTGGCGAGCCTCCACGATTGTGGTCTAGCATTGCATATTAAGATTTACTAACGAGTTTACAATTGTTCTTTTTAAGGTGAGCCATCGTATCTTACCTAATTGAGGCTTTGAAAAACATTTTGGTGTAATGTGTTTTGTTGTTGTTGTTTTCAACGAGGAGATTCATAAGTGAAGACATCAACACAAGTGACAAGTCTAGAAATTCGTATTCAGCGTTATAATCGTTAGTACTTATTCGTTTTAGCATCAAAAATGTTTTTGACTGATGATGATGCTTCCCTGCTTTCCTGCGACTACGTCCAGGAGTTTAATTATTTCAAAGTATTGACTATTACTGACGCAACACTTCGTTGCACTATTTGTGGTGGGAGGGTCTAGGACTTTTCGGTGTAGGGCGTTTTAGTGTATGACGTTTCGGTGTGGGACTTTTCGGTGCGCGGACATTTCGGTGCGCGGACATTTCGGTGCGCGGACATTTCGGTGCGCGGACATTTCGGTGCGCGGACATTTCGGTGCGCGGACATTTCGGTGCACGGTCAGTCAAAATCGTAAGCTTTTTTGTTGTTGTAATACGCACTATTTTAGCTAGAAATGTTTTTTTTTTTTTTTGCGCTTTATAATTTTGTAGACTTGGTCATTCATTTACGGTCCCGTACTGGTATACGACCTAAGTGACTCTGCTAGGCGCAGCACCATCCTGCGTGAGAACTGGGGACGTTGGACTTTATGCTTCATTTGCCGGTGTATCTTTTCCGATGTACTCACCAGACGCATCACATCGAGTTTACACGTTGGGTCGATACAGGCGTTCTCGGCGTCTTCTGTAAGGGAATGGGCTCTATTATTGGTAATCTGTGTAGGAAAGGCCCCAAATGCAAGAAGCTTGAGAATGTTAAAAATTATCGAGACAGAGGTAAAAGATGGGAAACTTCGTGGAACTTTGAGATGTCTTTCTCCCTGCGTCCTGTTTCTTCCGTGACGTTTCCCGTCTTTTACCACAGTCTCGGGTAATTTTCAACACGATCATGATCAACATGAACCAGCTCGCCGGCACACTCACCGTTTTTTCGTTAAGCTTGAGAAGTTGTTTCTGTACGATAACTCAGAACAATTTGAATGTTCGTCTACCGCGAAATCGTATAGCATCGATTGTTTAGCATACCTGACAAGAGAAAGTAAAGTAATTCCCATCCGTCACGCGTCGCACGTTTTGTAATATAAATCGAGGCATAAAAAACATTGTTAACGTTTGTTGCTAAGCATGGTTTTAACAGTTTTGAATATAAGCTATTAAAATTTAAAACAAAAAATTAGATATGTAAAAAAACAAAAAAAAAACAAAAAAACACCGTTCCTCCGGACAGTTTACGCAACATCTCTTACCCGTTGTGGATTCCGCTCAGAAGTGCATTCAATAGCAGAAAATAAAGCTGCAGGACCTCGATATGAAGCTGTTCGATGTGAGGCCGCAGCACAGATATTTTGGGCAAAAGGTTGTAGATCTGCCTACTAAAACTCATAGGTAACAACGACCACAACTGATGGCTCACTTGAATAGACAATAAAAAAAGGAAACCGCCGAGCTTAAAAACAAAGGCATTGACATCAAAGGGGTTGCAAGCAAGCGCTAAGGCTATTGACGACCCTTCCCTATCTTCAAAATAACAACTATGTTCTTTCTTGATCGGCGTGGTTGTTCCAAACCCCTAACCACCACGTTTCCAGGGCAATGGGAAGACCTTCGTAATAACAACAATGATTTAACGTCCTTCGCAAACTCGTAAAAAAAAACTCTTGCGCTCGTCATGCACGCTGTCGTTGAAATGGTCGCTTCCGGTCCATCAAGCACAGGAGATATGCTGTTTGATCCACTATGAGAGGCGAACGTTCGCATATGGGTGGCCAGGCTGACCCGATCTAAGAGCCGCAGACTAACCCACTAAACTTCCAAGAGCCGCCTGAAAGAAAAAAAGGCAGAAAAAACAGAGGGGGCAAACTTTTTTTTTAGTGCAATAAATGAAACTTTAACTACTTTAGATCTGTCATTGTCGAAAGCAATCCAACTGTACGTATGGTAGCAATAGTACAAGATTACCAAACCGCAACCTGTCTTTCAATTTAAAGCGCGTTAATTTTCTCTTGAGCAAGTGCGCGTGTGACCGGGAGGGAGGCGGGGAAGGAAGAGGGGGGGGGGGAGGGGGGGAGGGGGGGGGAGGGGGGGGGGGGCTTAGGGAGTCACGAAAGAGCCGCATGCTGCTCGCAAGCCGCAGCTTGGCTACCCCTGGCATGAATTGCCTACATAGAGTAGCTGGATGATGTCAGTGCCGTCATTCTCCTGTTTCTTGCAGCGCTGCGCCTGCTAATCCAGCGAGATAAAAAAAAAAAAACACTAAGAGTCATTTCTGAAGGTAAAGCTTTGGCAGCTCTCTGCCTGGTTAGGGGGTGACATGGAGTAAAATAAACTCCAACCACAATATAATACGCAATTCATTTTCGCAAACTCATAGGCAGGCTGGCGCCCCGCATGACGAAAAAAAAAAAACAATCAATCACTTGTAGCTCACCACAGAATAACATAGTGGTGTGCGAGTAGCGAATAATTACAATCAAATCAAATATAGATTTGAATCAAGGAAACACGCCCACTAGATTGAATACTAAATTTATTTTGCATGAGATCAAATGTTTACAACTTCTCGTACAAAAATAGCAGTGACTGTGCATGATCTGGGTTTAACTGTAACTTTTAATGCAATTTAACTTCTCCTTTCGGGCCATAAGGACGTTGCTAGCCGTCAAAGAACTGCTTTAAAACGGTGTTTACACGGGTGGTTCAGCGAAAGCTTTCAAAACTTCCTAACGATAGGGACGTTGAAAAACAAAAACAAAAAAAAACTATTTTTTGAAAACCAACCCCTAGCCGCCGCGGGGGTCGCCAAAGCCGGCTTGCTAGAAACGGCGTCTCAGCTGAGACTGGGTGAAAGAAAGCACAGCCAAAGCTAGCGCACGAGCTGAGCGGGACTCAAACCGCGTCTCAAGACGCTCGCGCGCCTCGGCCTTTGCAGCGCCTTCTTTCACCCAGTCTCAGCTGAGACGCTGTTTTAGCAAGCCGTCCCAGGAATTGCAAAAATATATAAAAATTCGCTATCTAATTAACTCAAATGTGTGTTCATTTGTCCCCCGCGGCTGCAAGTCGGTTTTCAAAAATAGTATTTTTTTTTCAATGACCCTATTAGCAATGTTTTAAAGCTTTCGCTTAAACAGCCGGTATATAAAACATAAGGGCGTTTGCTTGCGAAATGAATAAAACGAGCTGCATGCGTCTTGCGTGTTTTTTTCTTTGTTTTTTGTTGTTGTTTTTTTTGCGCCTATAAAGAGTGTTCGTGACAATTGCAATAGAGTCCTTGATGGGGCAGAACCGCTATCGTTTTTTTTTTTTTTTTTGTTTTGGTCATGTTTCACGGGGCTTTCTTTTTTTTTTTTTTTTTTTTTTTTTTGCTGGTAAGAAAAAATTACGCGAGCCGTATCTTGTTGCAAATAGCTAATTCGGGTGTTTCCCGATGAGCTGTACTACCTTCCCATTGACATTTCGGCTCTTAATACAATGTTTAAAACGAGGTAGTTAGTCCTGACATTTTATTAATTAGGCTTCATTACAAAATACTGCAACTCTCACGAGACGCTTGCTAACAACTTACAGTTAGTTTCATTAGCATAACACGATCCAATTTTAAATAAAATAAAAATCAGGGCGCGTTGTTTGGGACACCCGGTATTTACGTAATCTACGTCTGGGTGGCGCGAGAAGGAAAACGTGGCATATGTTTTCAGTCATGATTTATTTTTGGGGAAATCACGGCGCCCTGTAGAGCGATGGAAAAATACACGGCCAGCATATGACTATATGAGAGCCATAATAAGTGTTGGCTGCATCGCAAGCCGATAGCTTACGGACTTCTCGTCTCTCTCCCCAAATGCAGTACGTTGATGTCTATGTAATTTTACATCGTGTTTCTTGAAAGTTGAGAAAACAAATCGAAACTCATATTTGCATCGTAAAAGTCTGTGCACAGAAAAGTCTGTGCACCGAAAAGTCCGTGCACCGAAAAGTCCGTGCACCGAAAAGTCCGCACCGAAACGCCGTACACCGAACCGTCCTACACCGAAATGTCCGGATTCCGTCATGGGATAGATAACATTGCCAATGGCAAAGCGCCAATGCCAAATGCAGTTGCAGAAATATCATGGGATACAGGCGAGTTCTTATGAATGTAGGGTACGTTTCTGTTCGTACGAAATATTGAAAAATTGGGAACACGGTAAAATTAAGCACCGAATTTCAGAGACTTGGGAGTCTAACAAATATAAACTGATAAACCGCGATTTTTTCGTGGAAACCAAACTCCGAAAAACACCCTTCGAATTTTCCGAAAAATAAACTCCAAAAGCGTTTAATCCTACTTATAAGACAACTCTTGAAGTTGAGCGTTCTGTCACGGTCAAGGAATGGAGGCGCACGATTTTCCCCTCAAATATGGACGCGCTCAATCCAACTGCAGGCGCATTCTGCTTCCCCTCCCAAGAGAGCCGAGCAGGCAAGGTCAACGAATCCTGCAGCAAGGTTTCGCCTCGGAATTGTATTGACCCTGAAGGGAACAAGTGGTCAGCACTAGCAGTGTGTACACAGTCTGGCCATCAGACAAACCGAATCACACAGCCCTCGTAACACCGAGCAACGGCTCTTACCCCATAATTAGGCCATTTTTCTTCTTTTTTTTTCTCTGTCTCTCTCTCTCTCTCTCTCTCCGTCGCTTATTTTTATCACTACTCCGTTTTCGCATGTACTCGTCCTGTAGATCGTTTCGAATCCGCTGATGTCGCGAGCTTTCGACCAACCTGAGTTTCCAAGTCGAACCCCGAGGTTTTACCGGTTCGGGGAATCGTCGAACTTTCAGCAAACTTTGACGAAGACCTATTCATAGACATTGTTGCTCGACTCCTACTGAAACTAAATTTCGAAATATGGAACAACATAATTTAAAAAGTAGGGTTTTTTTTTTCTTTTTTTTTTTTACATTTTATGAAAATATTACCAATGTTTCTACGATATATAAAAATAAATATAATATACTGCCACGGACAGTATGAGCTGAAACAGTCCTCCTTGTTGTTGTTTTTTTATGTACTTGCCAGTTTTTGCGAGACCTGTGGTTTCAACTAGGAATGGAATGCTAAGGTGTGGTCCTATACTTTGAACTGTTTGACAAGTGAAGACAGTACAGTTTGTGCATCGCAGATAGAGAATAATTGTTTCAGCTCATATTGTCCGCGAAGGTATACTTTCAAGGTTTATTTCGTTTATTGTTTGGAAACAAAGAAACAATATACGTAACCAATTCTGCACGCCTCCTCAGCCAAGTGGCGCCAACTTGTATTCAATTTCCGCATAATAGTCGAAACAGTTTTGTTTTTTTTTAGTTTAAAGTACGTTTGTGCCCGTATAATATTCTTTTTTTTTTTCGGAAACAAAGTGAGATTAAGTTTCTACTTTCGGAGGATTAATAATTAAAAAGAATAAACTCCGATAAACCCCGAAATTTCAGCGAAAAATAAACTCCGAAAAACACCCTCCAAATTTCACGAAAAATAAACTCCGAAAAACACCCTCCGAATTTCACGAAAAATAAACACCGAAAACTGGGAATCCTACTGAGAACGTAACGTAAGAAAACGTAAGTATACGCCCCTTTGTGATTGGGCCTTTAGTATGATTCTGGAATATTCTTTGCGGAGGTCCGAAATAATTGATCTGGTGAGACTGTTGGTTTCCTACTCAAACGACACCATCAAAATTGCAAGGAATGTCTCGTTCGTCTGAGCAGCTTCACGGGTATCCAAACCAACACGTGTAACGCAATCCGTTTCGCGTATCCGGTAAGTTGGGTGGCCGGATGTGACGTTTTAGCTACTTTCTAAGCTTTTTGAAGCCTTTGTCAAGCAGCTGAAGTCCGGTGGCCTTCGTTATGTAAGCCGTTTCCACGTACAAACCACATTAGCCTCAGCGTTTTAGCCGCTTGGCGAGTGCTCATTAACCTCAATGCGACTGAAACATCCTGCACTCCCCCCCCCCCCCCCCCCTAAACAAAAAAAATAATAATAATGCACGCAAAGCAAATATCGTTACACGTGTTGGTTTGGACAGCCCTGTACTGTAATACCCTATAGTCGCTTGCTGGTCAAGAGTTCAGAGGAAGCACCCTTAACCGCAGTTAAGTCGGATCTAGGGTATAAATTGTTCTCTCTGAACAAACGTTTGCAAACTGAGCTTCGCGAATTCAAAGAGTTGAAGATGTATAGTGTGCAACGCTGTCCAAATCCAGGATCAGATCTTCCTCACACTTCTGTCATATCGTTTAGTTTCCAGCGCCAGACTCTAACGACCAAGTATGCACAGCATATCCACGTATTTTACCACAGTACTATAGTTCCGATGTTACCTTTGACCCGCGCAAAAAAAAGAAATGCGAGAAACCGATGATGAAGCGTTTAGTCTGGGTAGCGTATGTAACCGTACTGAGTTGGAAAACAGTGGGCATTGGTTGCGGCGCAATGCTGGCAGCTCTGCGCTATACAACGGAAATTGAAACAAATGCAAAGAGACAAGTGACCTCGCGTATCTCTCTTCGCGGGTTAACGTGTTCGTGTATCTACCATTTGTGTCGTTTCATCTCCTCACACCGTCAAGCACGAAGGTCTAAAAATATAGGTGTCTAATTGTATCAGAAAGCGAATGGGACTCGCTTGACCGTGTCGCTCAAAGGGGGTGCCGCAGGAATGCGGAAGAGTACCGGGAACACGGGTCATCTTGTGCCTGTCTGTTCTTGTTGGTGTGTGTTTTATGATGTGAAGCTGTTTGGCGGTTTTTGCACCGCCATCGGTTCCGTGCTCAGTTTGAAATTTGAACCTCTGTTTCATTACCCCAGGCTCGGCCAAGTAATTATTTGGCTCGGTTTGGCCCCTTTCTTCGTCCTAGGTTGACCTCTTTCTCGCATCTCTCCCCCTCGAATTCTTGTTTGCAGTTTTGTTGTGTTGTCTCACACACAGCGCTGGATCTATTCGCTCTAGCGCCCGGTCGTACGAAGAAGGCGCTTAAAGCTGGTTCAAACATTTGCGTTTTGTGTGCTCCCGACTGCGTTACGAACATGAGATGCTACTACGGGTTGCTCTGGCAACCGACGGTTTCTCAGTGCGTTGTAATGGAACGCAAAGCAACATAACGCAACGCACTCAACACAAAATGTTTGACCCAGCCTTTATACGCATGCGAGTTACTTGTACGCACAGGTTCGTTTCAGCAACAACTATGCAATTAGTTTACGCGTAAACGTCAGCCTTCGCAGCATCGCTAGTGTTTCTATTTGCACTTTTCTTGAAGTCTAGCTGCTGCGCCATAGTCTCTAATTCACTTTGGGAGCAAACAAACATCAGTATGTCTTGGCGTTGACTTATTTGGACAGCTTCCAGAAGGACGTTATTTTTAAATTTTGACAAATTTAAGCTCCTAAATTATAGCCCTCTTCGATCAGAGGAAAGAGGGGGAGGGGGACGGTGGAGGGGAATAGGGAGGGAGCGGAGAGGATATTCTCGTTTAGTATTAGACTATAGCTGGGCTTTTTTGCCATTGCAAATACGAACTGAGCGCCCCTGCCTCGCTGTTGAAGGTAATGTGGTCTTTTTTTTTTTCATTTCCAGACTGCGCGAGTTAGCAACACATCTTCAGCACGGCGACATCCCTTTAGCAGTTCTTCAAAAGACTCTCCAATACGCAGCCTGTGTTCTAGAAACGGTTTGTCAAGATGAAACAAGGTGAGAACTGGCCCACCACGAACTCAAGCTGTGAGGTAACCGAGACGTGCACTCTCGTTGGTTTGGTTTGATTTTTCTTGTGGTTAATTTGCGAATGCGCGATTTAGTCACGGTTCTCGACTTTTTTTCGAATGCTCGTGTATTTTAATTGAATCAGGGTGTCGAACCGAAACTTTAATCGCTTCGGTTTGGGTTTGAGCTCTCGCTTGACCGGATTGGTACCGCTTCAGCTCCTGGAGGCGGGTAGGACGGAGGGGCACTGAAGTGTTTCTTTTTTTTTTTTTAGTTCGTTCTTTTATGGTGCATGCTCAATCACCGCTCCCTAGATATGTTAGAAAACCTCCCAGAAAAATTCAATTACGCGTGGCCTTTTTGCTGCCAGAAATGCAACCAGCCATTGCGAAATCTGGAGTGCCAACTTAATTTACGAGCACCAATCACTCTAAAAAAAAAGGGGGTGTAGGCGTTACACCCCTTGTCACATATACGACACCCCAAAACTTTAGTTTGATGTACAGCGCACTGACGTTGTACCGACGCTACCAAATTTCACGAGCGGATTGATAGCCGAGTTGTACAACTCATTAAAACAGTTAATGTAAGTGTGACTGATCGCAAAAAAAGTTACCGGGGTTTTCTAGGCTCAACTGCAAAACCTGTGTGTTTTTTCCCTGTAGACTTTAATACGTACTTTAGCTGTTTAATATGTTAGACTGCCTCGTGATCAACCCTCTTGGAAAAGTTGGGGCAGTCAGTTCGACGTCAGCGCGCTGTACGTCCAAGTGAAGTTTTGGGGTGTCGTATACGTGACAAGGGGTGTAACGCCTACACCCCCTTTTTTTTAGAGTGCGTTAAAAAGAGAAAAACTACGCAGACGTTATTTACCCTGCTTCCATATATCAATTGCGATCCTGAAGCTAGAAAGTTTTACATTGTTACGCAGTTTGTTCATTAACTAGTGTGTTTATTTACATTCGGTGAAATTGATCTACGAAAAATTTAATAATGTGCCCCTCACCAGCTCAAGTCATGAAATCGAGCCCTGACAAGTCAATTAAATTTAAAAAGTTCGAAGGTTTATTCTCTTTCTCGATATGGATCTAACAAATCATGCTTTCTGCGATTTTTTCTTTTTTTTTTTTTTTAATATGTGTACAGCTTTGCATAACATTCTTGATCGTTTTCACTTTCCTGTGATGGATATTATTCTCCTAACAAGTATTATAAGGGTATTAAATTGATAACAATGGTTACGTTATCCGAACCGGTAATTCCATGTTTACGATTAAATTTAATTAGATTATGCCAGAAAAAAATGCGCTTTCGGTTTAGTTCGTTTTATACTAGGACCCTAAATAAAGTTTACTGTTACTGGTTATGTGCCAATCAAGCTCAATTAAAAATTCCTGCTTGGTCCCAAGTTTTGTTCCGGTTTTCGATTTGATTCCAGTTTCGTAATTTAGTTCTGTTCTGGATCGCTCAAAAGCGTTAATCAAGACTAGTTCATAATTTCCGACTAGCTTTTGTTATGATATACTCTTCGGTTATATTTCGTGCTCGTTTGGTGCCACTCGGAAATGACGGTTTGGCGCCGTGTGTTGGTTCGGGTTTTGTTCCGGTTCGACACCCTGGTCTGAATACCCGGCCTGTTCGCCCATCGCGATGCTATGACACATCTGCTTCGCTCTGATGAAGGGCGCTGTTTGTAAGCCGCCCGGTAAGAGTTGAGAAGACCACGGTAGGTGCACAAAGATTCGCGAACATCTCGGTCAGGTGCGCCGGACCCGGACGCTGCTGACGCCCAACTCGCGGCTGACGCGACATGCGCATGAACGCTGTGGCGGTAACGCATCTAGCTTTGCCTCTAGCGTGGCCCTCACTGCACAGCTTTCTGTTCCCTGTTTGTGCGTGTGCTGCTCTCCTTGGTTCTCGCTTTCTCTCTTTCCGCACACTGTCGCTTTCGAGTGCGGTGCCCCCCGCGGTCTGTCGGCGGCGGGGCCCCGCGACTGCACCGCTGGGCGCGGCTCCTCTCTATCCTGTCTTCTCTCTTGCCGTGTGTTTCGCTCCACCAGGAAGCAGCCGTCGATTCCACCTCAGCCACCGCCTCCTCCGCTCCATCAACCACCTTTACCGCCTGGGGTGGCGCCGTCTTTGTCAATGTTGCCAGACGAGAAGAAAATTCCTGCCACCGATGTTCCCCCGGCAGACAGCGTCCCGCGGCAAGCGGGGGTCGAACAGCGGCGAAGGGCCCTCATAAACGCCAACTCAAAGTTCAACAGGTTAAACTCGCCCCCGCCCATCACCTCCCCGTGTAAACCGGACGAGCACCGGGTGGAACGCCACCACCCGGTCGCCCGCGCGTGAGCTGGTTGCACTGGCACTCAGGGTTGTTCCAGGGTTGCCCTAAGGTTGCTCCAGGGTTGCCCCGGCCTCTGCCGCGACTCGGAACGGCTGCTTAGTCAAAAGGCACGCATCGGTGGGTCGTTAGTCCATGGATGCCTGCAAATGCGCGATGGACCTATAAACTCGGCTCCACGCTTTCAAGAGGGAAGGCTTACACCTTTCTGGGTGTAAATGAACTAACCAACATCTAGCATATTTTTGTTTCTGTCAGGTAACATCGTTTACCTGCAGCCTGACAATAAAAATTCTTAATGAAAACATTTGTGTTGCTTTGTTTGCAAACTTCAATTGACACTCGATTTCTTTCTTCCTTTCTTTAAGTCGAGAAGAGTTCGTTTCTTCTGATTTTCCGTCTTGCAGCTGTTACGGGGTTAGAGCGGCCGATAACCCCGAGCGTGTCAAAGGTTTGAGTCTTGGACATTTTAGCTCCACCTAAGTTGGCCTACTGAGATGCCTAGCCTGTTCAATTAAATTTCAAACCAATGGCGTCTCAAATCTATATTGTCTCGGTGCTTCTCTTTCCTGGTTTCCAGTGCTACCGGCGGAGCGCTAAACTGAAACTAAACCTGCACTAAACATTATCGTGGAAGGATCATGCCACCGCGCGGGCTCTTTCATATTTATTGAATTGAAGGAACCGTCGCACTTCCGAGACACAAGGTTGTTAACCGTGAGCATTTGCTTACTGTGTAAAGTAGTCACGATTGCTGTCATGATCCTCCACAAAACATTGTGAAAGTGATTAAACATCTAAGCATGCTCGGAGTCTAACTTGCACGTTGTTATTATACTCCTCAGTTTGGTTGCAACTAGTAATTCAGTTGGCGTGTGGTGTTCCAATAACCTAAATTGTGTACCCCGTCTGCATATGTACTTCATTGTCGACCCTACGTATGCTGTAGTGTTTTCATTTGGATGCTACAAGCACAACATTCCAAACGAAAGGCGTATTGCCCTGAAAGTTTAACATGTGAGAAACTTTCGGGGTATTACTGTAGTGTCAAAAGCTCTTAATATTCGAAACAGTAAGTTGAAAAGGAATGATTTTAACTAACTGTATATTAGTTAAATATGTTCTCACCTAAGAGACGCATAAACCATTGACGTCGTTCTTGGCGCTGTTCAGCTGGAATTGCAAATCGCTTGGATCGTGTTGTGCAGGGCTTACAATACGGCATGTTTTGTTGTAGTCCTGTGAATATCATTTTGCCTGTATGGAGCCTGCTGGCGCTAATAATTGACGAACAGGACAACGACGCAATCTTGCCGCTCTGTAGAAAATAACAACATTCTGCCACTTTGTAAATAGGCTAGACTTTCCTCTTTGTCCTATTTGTCAATTCTGAATACGTTGTGTTAATTATTTTTTTCTTTTTCTTTTTTTTATTGTAAGAAGCAGCGCTCTTTCAAAACTGTCAGACCGTAGATCTCTAAGTCCTCTTTGAAATGTTAAGCGCTGAGCGTTTAAAATGTTGCAGTCGACACGCCCGGCAAATGACAAACTGCTGATGCACATCGTTTAAACATGTTTTAATTTAGTAATCTAATGTCAATTTTTTGATAGAATGTTAATTTAAAAATTCATCCACATCCTACCAAATTTACTTCAAGTTTCGTCTCGGTTTTAGCCGTGATATTTTTCGGCGGTCCGTGTTGTGCACTGCTCAGGTAATACTGCTTGTGCGCACACGCAGCTGCGTTACTAATATTTTTCGTAAGTTAAACCCACCATTAGTGCGTTTACTTTTATGGGCGTAGTAACGCAACGTTATCTACCTTTGTTATATTTGAAAGAGGAGCGTTTGCTTCGTACAAGTTTTACGATATACAAATGGAATCTTTTCGTGCGGCATATAAGTCGACCAAAGAACGCTGTTTCCTTTCCAAAATTTACTTTTCTTTAATATTACCTTGAATTTGGGTGTGTTGATTCATTGGCTGAAACATTCGTTCACGTACTGTGTAAACAAATGCAAACATTATAATATACCAAAATGTTAGGAGGTTTCCATTCACTTGTGTAAACAATTTGCGAGAAAAGATTCCTGCTGCGCCTGCATGCGTTAGTCACGCTTTAGCGAAACTAACCCTTTCGTTTGCAATCGTAGTTTTTAACAGCGGTGTAAACAGAAATTCATAATATTATGAATGAATTTGCCACGCGCGTAAGGAAACTTTTCAAAAATTCAACTTCGAAATTTACTTCATTCTACTATGAATGAACTAAATGCAGAACTTATTGGTCTTCCCTTTTGAATAATGTCACAGATTGATTGCTCGAGGATTTTCCGCGTAAATATTTATTAATAGCCCAACACTTGGGTAACACTTAATATTGCATGTACACAATACCTAACTATATATAATTAATCTTCATTTTATTGTGAACGGGACTTGTACATTAAGAATTCATAAAACAAACTACACGTGAATGAAATTAATAAGAAATAATAAAGCACCTTCTAAACGTAGCGTCCTTCTTTTGAAATAACCGACTTGATACTCTTTACCCTTAAAATTATTCGCCGGTCATAAACAGCGGCCTTCATGTCGCGTGCCCTGTTAGGCGTCCTTAAGGCAGCCTTATGTCCTTATGT